GGGGGTTATTGATTTTTAATTTCCAAGATACACTAGTGGGAGAGAGAGAGAGAACATCCTACTTGTCTGAAATCTCATCAAAGCTTCAGTCAGACACTGCTCAGCTTGACCATTGTGTCCATTTTGTCATGGCTAGTGCAAACACACTCACATTAACCAAACCTCAGCAGTGTCTGAGAAAAGGTCTGGATGAAAAAGAAGACTGCAGGTAGATGTGAGAGAAAGTGCAAGTGTGAGGATAACAAACGTGAAAGATGTGTTGGATGACTTGATAGCTCATTATGAGACTGTGCTTGAACACCAAGGATAAAGAGTGGCTCATGTTTCTCTCCGGAAGTCAGGGCTTAAATATACCTCTGAGTGGGAACAAGACAAATTCAGTCTTGAAAAAAGCAAGGAAATTTCCCAATATGTCTCATTTGGCTCATATAATCCCTGTTTTCTTTGAAGAGGCGCATCCTCGGTGACTGAAGGCATTAATTTGCTTTCCAGTGATATCTGCTTGAAAAGATCATGCTTTTATATATATATATATATGTCCCCAATGGTCTTGAGATCAAAGACTTCAACCCAGAACCCTGCATTGCCAAGTGGCAAGAGATGTGTCTCACAAATAGACGTCCTGATAATACAGCACTATTCTCTGAAATCATCTTCTCTGGTGATACTTTTAAAAATTACTTGTGTTTTCCCATAAGGGACTAACAGTAAGCCAGTCTTTTTCTATATTGTGTGTGCCAACATATTTTCAATATTCTGATCATCTAGTGATTTACTTAGTTTTCATTCATGATTTTACAAATTTTCCGATAACTCTATACTTTTGTTGAGAGCAAGAATGAATTGTATTGTTATTTATATAAACGTTGTAATGCACGATCCAGTATTACCAACTTTAATCAACAAAATGATCACCTATAATTTTTGCCTTGGTGCCCTAGAAAATTGCCTCGGTGCCCTCTGGTTTTTAGGCCCCATCGAGGCAATTTTTGCCTGCCCTCCTGAGCACCTAATTCAAGCCCTGCACTTTGTATCGGTGCTTTACTTACCTCAAATAGAGTGTGAGGTGCTCTCTGCTGTTCTTTCCCTGCAGAGTAGAGAAGGCAATAAAAATTGAGGCTTATAGAAGCCCTGACTCTGGAGCTGGAAGTTGAGTGAGACGTTGCTGTCTGCTGTATTTCAGCCCTGTTGAAACATAGATTTTGTAAGTGTAGGCGAGCAGGAGCGAACCTAATGAATGGCAAAATTGACTTGGGGGTGGAACCCGAAGTAGAATAAAGTGACTAGGGGTTAGAACTTGGAACCCGAAGTAGAATAAAGCTACTAGGGGTTAGAACTTGGAACCCAAAGTAGAATAAAGCGACTAGGGGTTAGAACTTTATGTTTTTGAGGAATCAAGGGTTTCTGGGGGGTTGCCCCCTGATTTGGAGCCATTGATTCAAGCTGGGATCGCTGTTTATAGCACACTTTGAATTATTAATCCGGGGGG